GGTATTGCAATAATAGAATAATTTTTTAATTAGGCCCATTGAATGTCTTATTAACAAATACATGGGGATATAGAAAATTCAGTAATGCGTACGTGAAATCACCTGTAGAAAAATGACGGTTTGGGCGCAGCGGGAATGGTTTGGTTCCATGCAAACGTCGAGTTGGGGTTTCCATCCCTCGCTGTGCATTTCGCTTGTGTCCTTGAGCAAGCTTGTCTCCACCCAGGAGTGTAACCTAAAGAAAAGGCGCTATTTAAATACCAAATAACAAAAAAATAAAAAATAAAATAATAAAAAATATAATTACCACTGGAAAAGAAAACTTGAAAGTAGACATGTTTCAACTAAAGTATTGCAACAATGCTCAAGGAAATAAAACAATTGAAAACAAAACACATAAAAACTCTTCACTCTTCGCTCTTTGAAAGAATTAAAGTCATAGGTAGGCACACTATTGTAAAACCGAATGAAAGTGCGGAGTTCTTAAGAGTATGAAGACTGTCAACGCATCAAGCCTAAGAAGAGTGCAGAATATACAAGAGTTTCTGAAAGGCTTAAGAAAATGATAATCATGGGCCTAGTAGAAAATGTGAAAAACAAAAATATAGAACGCCAAATTGGAATTAGATAGTTTCAGGAAACCAGTGTAAAACTAACGCAGTGAATAAATAGATATCTGGGCTCAGAGAACCCACTTCTGTAAAGGGCGTATATCAGATGTGCATTGAATCTGGCAATACCGAAAGGTCTCTGTGGTCTAGACTAGAGGTATGCCGCTCGCCTTGTCAGGGAGAGGTCGTAGGTTCGATTCCCACCGCAGACACATTTCACACAACTGTTCATAAACTTTTCGTTGATAGGCTGCCTGATACGTTTATCATCTACCAGTTATATGAAGAGTTGCTGTCAAAAATAAGGTAAGGCTAATGAGGTGATATTTAGCTTTTTGAGGTTAAATTTGTCCTCAGAAAATGTTCATTGGGAGGGACGTGGCTGGCATAAATGATTCCCCTCCACCTCCACCAGTTGATAAATGCATCAATTAACTCAATAAAGTTCAGTAAACGGTACCGTGACAGATGTGCGACGAGCAATAGTGACGTAATCATTATACTGTACTTTTCAGCTTATTGTATTAATTCCTATAAAAAGCATGGTAAACAAATTCAACCGTAACCTGATATGTAACATCTGTTAATTTAAATTATTTAGAATTTCGACAAGAATAATTATTTCCTAATGTGTTTCTACTAAACAGGTATCATCACTAATAGATGATCATAGTTGGTGGTATGCTATGGCTATAGCAACAAACAAAGCTATTTTTTTTTTATCCATATGGCTACACATCATAGAAGTATAAAAGTACAGTGTTTTAGCATATTTTATGATAGTAAATGACCTACTTTATGACATTGTGCATTCATATTCCGAGACCTGACCAAGGCTCCCAATCGGCCCCTTGGTAATTCGGACTCCGCTGTCGGACATCGGCAAATTTCTGGAGCCACAATTGAGTAGGAGTACTGTTGTAGCAGAGTAACAATAGCAGCAACAGGCCTAGCAGCAGCAGTAGCAGGCCTTGCATTAGTAGTAATGATAGTAGGCATAAAGCCACAACTATTTATAAGCCGGCTAGCGGTCCGTAGTCACCGGTCAATTTATTTCAAAGTACAATATGTGCATAAAGTGACCATAACAAAAATTACGTTGCAAGGTAAAAATTAGAACGAGGGTATTAATAAAACACGTCACTATTTCGCATGCACTGTCACTATTTCGCAAACAACTTTAATTGATACCTATTAAGCTAATTAACTGTAGCCGATTAACGTGTAAATCGACTGTTCAGTGGAGTAGTGAGTATAATTTTGATCAAAAGGGAAAATGATTATCCGACCATGGAGGAATAAGAAACTCATGTCTGACTCGTCTCTTAATCGTAAAGTCACGTTGAGGTGCCCACCAGAAAAGAAGGACTAAAAGTCGTTAAAGCCAGGCTCCGGAGGAAAAGAAATGATATGTTGTAAATATATGCTTTTATGTCTTAGAAAAAAATCAGTTATACAACCTATCAACTTTTTTTCCCCTGTGGGCACTTTAAGTCAGCATATCATATGAGGTTGTGGCGGCACGTATTTGCCGTAATGTTGTAAATGGAATGGAAAATAAACAGTGAAGTATTTTTGGGTCATCCTGAGCTGTCTTGTTTTTAAAATTAATTATTGTTTTAAATTTCTGTATATTGTTGTCTTACTTGAATGCATTCAAATAAATACGAATTAATGAAAACCCCTAGACCTACAATACAACCTAACAATGTTTCATGGACAACATCTTGTTACAGACTGAGAAAGAAGCTACCAAATCTAACACACAATATTTTTATATCCAGCAAGAATCCAATTTTATAAATTGTTTCTTGACCAAGACAGCCTTAGTCTGCCTATTGGCAGGATCTACGCTTTTGTAATTGCCGATGTACGTGTCATCACGTTGAAGTAAAAGCAAAACAATTTTTGGCAACAGCAAATTCTGTATTTATATCTTTAATGATGGTGCTGTCTGTTTTATGTGATAAGTTGTTATAAATATTTAATATATTAAGTCGTAAATGTAAATTAGACATTGCTTATTTGGCTTGTGAAATTGTGACGTTATTCCAGACATGTCTGTACAGCACGAATCATAACAAATAATAATAGTAAGCCTACTGTTTATACTTCTACAGCTACGGTGCTACTTCACAGTGCTGCTCCTTCTACTTCTACAGCTACGTACTACTTCTACAGTGCTGCTGCTTCTGCTGCTGCTGCTGCTGCTGCTACTACTACTACTACTGATACTACTACTACTACTACTACTACTACTACTACTACTACTACTACTACTACTACTACTACTACTACTACTACTACTACTACTACTGCTACTACTACTGATACTACTACTACTACTACTACTACTACTACTACTACTACTACTACTACTAGTAGCAGTAGTAGTTAGTAGCAGCAGAAGTAGAAAGGAAGTATAAATAGTAGTTCTAGTAGTAGTAGCGGCGGCGTTGACGGTGGCGGTGGCGGTGGCGATGGTGGTGGTGTTGGTGGTAGTAGTTGTAGTAGTAGTAGTAGTGTGCAGTGTACAGTAGAAGTACCGTAGTTTAGTTGTTGTTTAATGTTAGCAGAGTAGACTCAACAGCAGACTACAACATAAACCCCCTCTAAAAATTTGACCAATTAATTTTAAATGGGCTAAAAGAAACTGAAGGAAATTTGTAGACTTCTGGAAAAAAATAAAAGCAGCCTCTCTGTCTGCCATGATATTGGCACTTGTAAGATATTTTCAATTGACGTAAACATAGTAACTAATGCGACTCTATATCAGGGACATAATTAAGGTTCAATAAATTAACCGTAGTACACATGACATCAATCTGTTTAAATATTTCCCATACAAAATGACTTTTTCATATACCAGTGTGTAGTGATATTTGCTCATCCGAGATTTATTAATGA